GTCACCTCCTTGCCAACCCCTCCCCCTGGCGGCTGGCTATTTCGCCGGTGGGACTCGCCGGCGGCCTCGCAGCTCCGTGCGTTCAGGCGGGAAAGGAAGTGGAGAGCCTGGGAGTTGCGGGCGGCACCATAGAAACACCACGGGACGCTCTAACTCGGGTCAGCGTCACGCAGACACCCGTGACCGCTTCCGGAACAACGCTCCGGGGCCATTTTTGTCAGGGGCTCTGAAGTCACTTCCGGAGCCCTCAGGGGTACTTCCGCTTAAGTGGGAAGGTGGCAGTGTCCCTTAAAAGGGCGACTGGGCGCAGTGGCCGCCTCGAAAATGACGAGGTTAAGCCAACGTTTGTTTAGCGCTCCAGGCATGAGTCTAAGCATTCTTTTTCCTTTGCGACACGATTTCACTTGCATCTCGCTCTGTAGATCAGGCCGGCACGAACTGCCGCCGCTTCCCAAGTGCAGAGTTTAAAGGAGGGCGTCACCACGCCCAGCAAGGGGCTAAGTATTTTTCCTCCCATGAATCCATTTCTCAAACCCGGGAACCAGGCAATCAGTTTGCCTGAGGTCACCCAAGGGCCAGAGCGCTTGCACCAGGTACTTCCTTCTGCAATCAGCTTGCAAACCCGTTAAGAGCTCATTGCGTTTGGGTTATTCTGTGACCAGCAGTGGAGAGAGAGAAAGGCCAGATATATATCCCACAAGGTGATGAGGAGCTGGGCGTGTTTTCACACGTCAGTAACTGGCCAGCACTTGTGAGAGTGAAGCAGGAGATCAACAGTTCAAGGCCAATGTGGAATATTCATTCTGTCTCAAAGCACACAACACCCGCAAGGGAAGCCCTAAGGGTGGTAACAAAATGAGAAGGTCTCTCTCCCCAAACTGGGATAGTGATGAAGTCAGATTCTTGTTTTGGGGTGGTCCAGGTGGCAACAATGCGAGGTACTCGATTCTTTGACCCGCTTTTTTAATCCTCTGCGGGTCGCCTTGGGTAGGTCTCAGGAGTGCCCAGTCAGTTGCTCTATGTCGTCCCCGGCGGCCAGCCTGGGAAGTGGCCGCGGTACACTCTGCAGCGAGCCTGCGCCAGGAAGAGTTAAAAAGCGTGCGAGAGCAAGAGACCGGCGAATCCAGTTCAGCGAGGGATCTAGATTCACCTTGCAGAACTACAGTGACCTCATTTCAGTCGGTTTTTCTCCTGAACCCAACGATCACTGCGAAGTTTAATTCTCTACAACCCATAAGACACAGGAGGGGATAGTGTGTTTACAGTCCCTCAACAAAAGCCTGCACGAGATGGGCTTGGCCTTCTTTGTTTCCTTTATTATTAAAATTGTTAATGAAATAAAACCCAAACTTCGTTTGCCAAACTGATTTAGCGTCAGATCCCCACTCACAAGCACTTTCTGGAGGGGTGACAGAGGCAGGGTCTCATGTAGCCTAGGCTAGCCTTGAACTTCTCTGGTCCCTCTTTTCCTACCTTAAAGTGTACCAGCACACCTGCAAGGGATTAATTAGGGCTTTTGCCAACTAAGCAAATACTCCACCAATGGAGCAACATCTCTATGGTCACCCCACTCTCCATTTGTCTTCAGGCAGTCTTTTTTCGTTTGTTTGTTTTTGTTTTTTCGAGACAGGCTTTCTCTGTGTAGCTTTGGAGCCTATCCTGGCACTCTAGACCAGGCTGGCCTCGACCTCCAAGAGCCCCCCCTGCCTCTGCCTTCTGAGTGCTGGGATTAAAGGTGTGTGCCACCTAGCTTTTTTTTTTTTTAAGATTTATTTATTTTAGTGCATTGGTGTTTTGCCTGCATGTATGTTAGTAGGGGGTGTCAGGTCCCCTGGAACTGGAGTTACAGAGAGTTGTGTGCTGCCATGTGGGAGCTGGGAATTGAACCCAGGTCCCTTAGAAGAGCAGCCAGTGCTCTTAACCACTGAGCCTTCTCTCCAGCTTCCAGACAAAGTTTTTTTTAGGTCAGGCTGTTGATTTAGATGGTGCTGGGGATTGAACCTAACATTTCATACACAGGTTAGGCAGACACTTCACCAACTGAGCTCTACCCCTCACCTCCCCCACTATGTATTTCTTTGCATGCTTATGGTTTGTGTCTCTCCACATCTGGAACATTAGTTGTCTAGGAAACTTCATCCCTGAGGACCTGTATCTGGTGAATCCCTGTCTGAGTTTCTTTTCCTATTGCTGTAATAATCTACTCTGACAAAAGAAGACAGACTTTGTTCTGACCGGCAGTTCAAGGGTGCATACTGTCCATCTTGGTGGAGAAGTCACATTGGGATGTGAAGCAGCTGTTTACATCACATTTGTACCTGGCAAACAGAGAGACAGTGATGAACGGGCTGCCATGGTCCTATCACATCTGCACCTGGGAAGCAGAGAGCAATGAACACAGGCTGCCACTCAGCTCCCTCTCTCCACTTAACACAGTGCAGGACCCCAGAGGTGGATGGTGCCGCCCACAGTGGGCAGTCTTCACACCTCAATAAAATCATCAAGATAATCCTCCCCATAGCCCAACAGCTCCTCACCCAGGTGATTTAGATCTGTCAAGTTAAAGAGTAATTGTACTAATTATCACAATCTCCCGAGACCTAAAGCAGTTGCTGGGGCTCAAGACATGGTGCCTCAAATTGTGGCACCTGCCCACATTGAAGGAGTCTGGGAACACACCCAGATACCAAATTCTCAGCACAGAAGAGATTTTATTTACCGGGGAGGGGACAAGTGGGAGGGCTGCCTCAGAATCAAAAACAGTAGCAAGTGTCTCTGTAGGAGTGGTTTTTAAGGAGAAAAAGGGGACTCAGTATGAGTTGGGAAGTCCTGATTGGACAGGTTAGTGTAGCCAAACGGTGAATTTTAGTTGCTGGGCCTTTGTGTCTTGATAGTCAGACCTTGGTGATCAGCCTCAGGAATGAGTTAGGCATAAGGGAGTGGCCAAATAGGAGAATAGACCTTGGTGGCAGTTAGCAAGGGAGAGAGAAGTGGGGAGGAAGACCTGCTGGCACCATGTTTGCCATGCGTGGGCCTGTTAGAAAGTCCCTCACACTTTACATGTGGATCTGAAGGAATCTGTTGGCTTTTTGCCTTTCCCCTCCAGGCAGGCCATAGAAACTACAATTCTTCACACCCAAGGTGAGTCATAGAGACTATCACTCTCTTGACAAGTCTGTTTACAAACCTGGCCCTCCACAAACTCCCCAGCCTTTTGGGGGAAGAAACCAGCCAAAAGGAGGTGCTTTCACTTGCCTATATCCAGTTAATAGTAGGCTACAAGACCTTATCTCACAGGGGGCCTGCCTCACACCCTGGAGGAAGAAGGGCAGCTGGGCCTTGCTGGGCCTCTCCATCACATTCCCTCCGCAGACATATTCTTGTTCAGTTGCATTCTGCATGGCTGAGTCTGCATCATCAAACCCGAACATGAAAATGGAAAGCTCATTCAGGGTCTTTGGGCCTTCCTTCTAACGTGCCGTCATAGAAAGCTGGTTAAGTAAATTCATTACACTTTCGTCCTGTTGATCTTTGTCAGTTTTATTTCAGACCTAGCTAGCTAGGAAGGCTGAGGAAGTTTCTCCTTCTCTGCTGTGTTTGATAAATGTGCACCGAACAAATGAATGCCACTGCCCAGCTCTCTGAAGTGAGACAGTTGGGAGCCACCATGTGGATGCTGGGAATTAAACCTGGGTCTTCTGGAAGAGCAGCCAGTCCTCTTAACCACCAAGCCATCTATCTCTCCAGGCCTCCCCCTTTTAATATAATTTATTTACTTTCATTTTTATGTGCATTGGTGTTTTGCTTGCATATATATCTGTGTGAAGATGCCAGACCCCATGGAATTGTAGTTACAGATGGTGTGAGCTGCCATGTGGGTGTGGGTGCTGGTAATTGTACCCAGATCCTCTGGAAGAACAGCCAATGCTCTTAACTTCTGAACCAACTCTCCAGTCCCTCAGGCTTTCCCCACCCCCAGATGGGGATTCTTTGTGTAGATTTGTAGACTAGGCTGGTCTCAAACTCACTAAGATCCACCTGCCTCTGCCTCCTGAGTGTTAGACCCCTGGAAAACTGAGGCCTCCAGGGTCTCAGCCCAGGTACGAAGTCACCCCAATCACCAGGCAGATTCGAAAGCTTGATGCAAACAGCATGAGGCTTTATTGTTGTTTAACGAGCTAACCCTATGTTAGCTTGGGTCTTTCACCCATCTGCCATGGTGGATGACTAGCAAAGACAGCTGGGGATGCATAGAGATCTTGTAGGGCAGCGTAAGGGGAGTGTCTAGGGGTATGCACAGGCTCAGGATTGGTGTGCCTCCAGGCTTGGAGGGCTTGCCCTTTGTTGATTGGCCAACTGGTTGTTATGGCCCATAGGCCCTCCCAGGGTGGTTGCTATGCTCTGTGTGTCCTTGCTGTGTGCTTGTCCTTAAAGCACCCCCAGAGCTGTAAAGCATAGCACCACCAGCTAACTTCTGATTGGCTCCTTGCCACGAGGCAGGCACCTAATCTCTAGTGACCAAGGTAAGGTCAGAAAAGCACGTGTTACTGTCATGGCTGCCGAAAGGGGCAGGCATCTGACCTTAGTGACCAAGACAAGGTCAGGCAAGTGTGTGTTCGGCTGTTATGGCTGCCGAAATGGGGAGCTGGTCCGTTCACTGAGTACTGGGATTAAAGGCATGTGCCACCACTGCCCAGCTCAGGCTTCCCTTTTTTTAATCTGAAAAAATTTATTACATTTTGGATCTTGAGAGATGGCTCAGCAGTTAAGAGCAGTATTGCTCTTTCTGGGGCCCAAGTGCAGGTCCCGGGACTCATGGTTGGCTCCAGTTACAGCCCCAGGAGGATCTGATACCTCTGGCCTTCTGCACTCATGTGTACATACCCATGCTCAGATGCACACACACACA